GGGAGACATCATCAAGCTTATGCCCGTTGTTCATTGTTAATGGCTGTTACACTGACAAGAAGCATTTGATCAGACACATACCCCCATATTGAGGGGGTTGTGTTATGGGGCAGAATTACACAACCCATGAAGATAATAAGTAATGACGTCTTATAAAGGTCAACAAACAAAGCACTAGTGGGACAAACACAGGCCGTGTGATGAGATTCATTAGGACAGCATTGAGAGCGTGGAGAGGGAGAAAGAGGGAGTTAAAGAGGGGAGTGAATTCCTCCACTGTTTCACTGCGGCCGTCACAGCAGCAGCTGAAACAGGTGTGTGTCTTTACTCAGGGCACTGAGGGCAAGACAAGTGCTATTCTCACATGGTTCAGACCGGTCACACTTGACCACACTCTGACCTTACACCCACTTGAGTAGCCCGAGACTTCATTAAGAAGGCCCTAAGTGGCGCAGGGGTCTCACAACTATTATCTCTGCAATTTAATACAGACTCTCCCTGTCCATAAATGATCTTGGCTCAAGGATATTTATGAGCAGTCTGCTTATCAGTGTCAAAACATTCAGCAGGCCTGCTTTGAATTCGGGACCCCTGATGAGCTGTATCACTGGGGCTCTCCACCCTGATGCATCTACTTTGATTCGTGGTCACCTCACCTGTCCGAGTCTTCTTTAACTTGCAAAGTCATCCCGAAACTCTGCTTTACTGAATATGGTACGTCCAGGCACGGAAGGAAGTTGCAAGGGGCAGGTGCAATTTCAAGATGGAAGTATAGAGAAGTACTGTCGTTCAAGGAAACAACACAGACCTAACCCTTGATTAGGAGAATGAAGAATTTGCCAGGGGATCACTAGTGAAAGCTTGAGATTTGAGACTGTCACATTTAAGTCACAAAAATCTTGACTTATCTCAGACTTAACTCATGAAAGACTTGCGAAAGCAAAGACATTTTTAACACGGTTAAAGCAGCAGACCTGGCATTACGCAAGATGGGTATATGTAATTATGCACAGGCTGATATTAGGTCTATGCATTCTTTGTAAAACTACACTATTAACAGTTTTCAAGGAAAAATGTTGAAAGGCTGTGTAATTTTCATGGTCGGCATTCAGAGATCTGATTAACTTGCTCTTCACTGAATGTTTTTTGTCATGATTGATGTTTAAACCTAATGCAGGGAGTTATAACTTGTTATGGAACTGTCCCAATTTCATACTGAAGCCTCTATATGACCTAAATAAGAACACAAGACCGTCAGCTAGACGACTTCCTGTTTCTATAAAGCTATTCTAAATGCCTGCCACCAGGTCGGATTCGGTCGGATTCCCCTTGAAATCAATGAAACCAGGCAGTGGAAACATATTTGTCGGCCATTTCTGTGTGATAGAATAATGTTTACTTCTGGTGTATTGTGGGTACCCGATAATCAGTCTATTTATATTAATTCTGTATGTTGAAGACCATATGAGGTTTAAATCAGTCGTGATTTTAAACCAGTATGCCCAACAAAATGAAGGGTTTTAAAAAAGCTTTTCTCCTTACTCAACCCAAGAATGGCTGAAGAAAATCTTCTTAATTGGACTTGCCCCAAAAGACTTAAAAAGAGCTCTGTTACGGGTCAATTCTTCAGATTTTCCAACAAGACAATCATAGGATTTCTTGTGGCTACATTGTAAAATTTCCCCTGAATCAACTAGAATCCGTTTCTGATTAAGATTGAGGTCATAAATAGGCCACGCTGTTGCAAATAGAGCCTCCTGAATGTTACACACTGGACCTTTAAACCACTCCTTATTGTTGTTGATTGGTCTGGCATTCAGCTGCCAAGCTCAATCAACTCAGTTTGATTCTTTCCAGGACCAAAACTTCACAACAAAACTTGAGCTTGAAAGACTTGGACTGGTTCTGCCAGGCTCACCTGTCTTCACTTCGGTAAGTATCAGTTCTACCTCTCCCACCAGCACTATCCCTATAGAACCTGGACATTGTGACACACTATTAGTCATTCTTTCCCCTTCCCAAACACATCTACACACACATCTAATGACAACATAACACAAAGCTATGGTTTCCAGCTCAGGAAACAGAGGGTTCCTGTTTTTGAGTCCAAGCTCTATTGTTATCTTAAACAGCATTTTGACAGTACATGCTCTCTCTTACTCTCCTTTGGTCTGTTTTTTTTGCCTCTCCAGCTCTTGCTTCACAGACTGGAGATATCACACAATTCAACATCTAGCCAGATCTTGATCCCTATATAGCTCTTTAGCAGCACTCATTCTTATCTGGACCTTTCATTCTACTAATATTGACAAATCCAGAGAGATAGAGTCAACACAACTCTCCATTACCACTTTTCCTGTTTTATCTATGCCTCTTATCTTTGCTCTCTGGATGGAGTCACACAGTCACTCCTATTTCTGCACTTGAGGATCAAGTATCTCCTCTGCCATCGCTCTGTCTCTGCCAATCCCTCTCACACACCGTCTTCATGCTTTTTTTTCTCCCTCATTCCTTCTGCCTACACTGCTATACTCACTCTTCGTTGTGGGAACCAAGGTGCTGCATGCAGTCTATTGCGCAGTTGAAGGTGTTAGGGGGATTGAAGAAAAGTCTGGATAAGCAACAGCTGGATTTAATGCACCATTAAGGTCATTGGTTGTTCAAGCTGCACCTGCAAATCCCCTGATTTCACCCCCCTCCTGTCTAAACCTCTCTCCCCTGTCTGCTCCCTCCCCTCCCTCCTCTCCTCTTTTCTCTGTTGCCCTCTCCTCTTTCGTCCACATACTCAGTCACCCTTTCTTTTCATTCCTAGCCCTCTCGGCTTTCTTTCTGTTGCCCTGTCAGCTATGAAATCCCTCCCTCTCTTTACTGTTTTTTTTAAATCAAAAGTAACCGCTGCCACTGCTTCACCTCTTCTCTCACTCTGGTTCCCGACATCCCTTTCTCCTGTTTTATCTCACTCTGCATGTCCCCCTCTCTCTCACATGCTTTCTCTTTCTATCTGTATGTCTCTCTCTCGTTCTCTCTTGTTTCAGTGCCCCTCCCGCTCGCAGGCTGTTGTGTTGTGTCTGCCAGGCCTTCTCGACTGGAGCACAGGTTTCCTGAGTACTGGAACGGAACAGGAGCTGGCAGGGAGATACACTGAGAAACGCCAGCTTGACTGTTCCCACTGAGTGTCACACACGCTCACACTGCTGTTCATACCGATGCAACACAGGCAGGACACAGCACACGCTATGATGTATGTAATGATGAGGCATGCCATGGGTAATCCCACCTGGATTCGGTTTATTCTGTTGATGCAGTGGAGTAACCTAACTTGACCACAGTCTCATATGTATTATATCACATCCTATGAAGCATATAAAGTAGGTCCAGGTTGTTTTAATCTTTAAACACAGAGTATATTTCAAAAATAGTATTATTTGATTTGATTGTACAGATTTGTAAAATGTATTTGAATTGCTGCCTTTTAATTTACCACTATCTGTATATATATATGTATATATAAGTACAATAGCTTAATATAGGATGGATAATTCATGGATAAAGTTATTTATCAAGCAAAAGTAGGCCAAACATTCATTTGTTCAAATGTTGGGATCTGCTGCTTTTCTTGAATATCTTTGGATTTGGGATTTTTGTGAACGTGAAAATGGGCATTTTTATTATTTTCTGAGATTTTACAGACTAAATAATTTAAAGCTTAATTACTTATGGTCAACATATTAATTGCAGATCCTTGTGCTGCAGTTGCATGTTAAAAACATGCAATAAACATGGATGGGCAGACAATTAGGCCATAGCATGATGGCTGTTTTACACAGCCTCGAAGCCATTCGCAAGATGAAGCATCCTCGAACAACACTGCAAACTTGGAAGGATAATTGTTGATTTCAGGACTTTTAAATTTATGCTTTCAGCAAACAGACATAAACCCTGACTATCTTCCAGTCTTGCATATAACAGTCTCCATAAACAGAAGAAACAGGCTCTACCCGTCTGGCAGGCGCGCAGACCGTCACTTGCACTATTAACACTGGTGCAGACAAACATAAACACCACCGTCCTAAGAATAACTCTCCATTTTCCCCCCAAAGAATGATGTTTATTTCTCAGTGGCTCTTTAGTGTGTCCCTCTCCCCAGCTAACTGAATGATGTTTACATCTCCCACTCCTCCTAATTTCACTCTTGAGAGGCTGTGCCCTCTGCACCTGGACAGTTCACCACCCTGAATGAACAGACTGCCCCAGAGCACCTAAAGAGACACTGAGATCAAACACCAGCCTTTCTCCCAGCGGCCCCTAATGAAATTGTTGTTGGATTCCTAACATTTGTATTTATGGATAGCTTTTAACTTGGGCCAATGGTAATCTAATTTTTAAAATGGCTTTTCTAAATTAAGAGGATGACACAGAGAAACAGTTAGAGGTCTAATGTGTTTTAAAAGCCTGACTGGGGTCTCATTAAAGACTCAGTTGAAACAAATTGTTTTCTCTCTCTCATCTGACAGGGTATTGGTGTTGTTAATACATCAGAAAACAGTCTAGGGCAGTCGTTTAATGAAAATCACAGCCAGCTACAACATTGAGATTTATCGAGAACTGAGAAGAACATGTAGTAATTAATCTTTCTGACCACTGTCTCACCACTCCTCTCTTACAAATGGGTCGATGACACAAACAAGGAAATATAGAATGAAATATCAGTGTCCCTTGCATCAAGGATGTATAGAAGAAAAAATACAATATGTAAGAAAATAATAGTAATGCTAATAAATAAATAAACATGTAAAAAAAAAAAAGATTTACATACAAAAATAAACATGCTTTGTTATGTGTTAATGTAAAATTTCAATTGATCTGTCGATTGTATTTTTCTTTCGAATAAAGACTTTTGCAAATATTAGGAAATTACAACAAAAACAGACTAATAATAAAGCTGATTTGCAGGAATCTCTTTAGTAACGTCACAGTAACTACGTTTCCCATAAGGCGCAGCGGTTTGCTACGTCATACATCCGCGCAGAGCTGAGGTGGCGTTTGAGAGGAGGTAAACACGGATTAGTACTTCTTAAAACTGATTACTGAACGAAATGCCACTTAAACGAATGAGTGATTTAATTGAAACCACTGATTTTGTGCGATTGTTTTGTCCCCTCCGACTACCCGTTGTTTCTCTTCCTCTTGTGTTGCAAGCTAGAGAGACAACACGGTGCCACTTTGGTGTGCTAAAGCTAAAGCTAAGGCTCGTTGAATGAATAAGGGGAGCCTGTTAACCGGTCGGTTCTCTTTCAGGTTGTTTCCCCGGCTGCTCTCATCATGACTAAGCTCCTGGAGTGGCTGTTCGGAGGCTCGGTGGTGGGCGCCGTCTGGGCTCTGGTCACTTTCGACCTGTTGGACCTGAGCCTGCCGCAGACGTACAGAGAGGTTGCCTGGCCGATGCCTCTCTATCTGCTGGTCTCGTTTGGCTGCTACTCCCTGGCCACGGTGGGATACCGGGTGGCCACCTTCAATGACTGCGATGAGGCGGCGAAAGAGCTGCAGGAGCAGATAAAAGAAGCCAAAGAGGACTTGAGGAAAAAGGGGTTAAAGATGTAGTACCTGAGAAGGACTATGTACGACCTTTTTGGGAGACCGAGAAGGGGATGCACGGACCACTTTCACACCCAGCCAAGTGTCTGCTCTTGTAATGTTTGAGTTGTATCTCTTGTTTAGAATGTGGAAATGTTGTTGGATGAGACTGAACTGTTTCCAGCAGACATGATCTGAACATCAGTCATAATAACCCTCAAATCCAGCTGTGTTTTTGTACAGTGTCATGTGTGAGTCAGATTAGATATTAATCGGAAATGCTTCAGGGAATTGGTAATGAATGGCCTAATGTATGATTTTCTGGGTTACTCATGAATGACAACAGAGCAGTTTGCATTCTCACCATGTAAAGACCTCTTTTATAAAGTTACTGACTAACAATCAGTGTGTCTGTTGAAATCAGTTTGTAGCAGGTGGTTTATTACTGATTGACGCACTATAAACCAGATGAAAGAAGAACACACAAATGGCGCTGTCTTCGGTTGCAAACACACAGTTAAACACCACAGAGAGTCGCTGGTATGCTAAATGATCATCTGTAACCATTTGCCCATCACTGAAATGCCAACCAAATGAAACCCAAAGGTCACACTGGAACAATCTGACTTACAGACTGTTTCCACTGAGAATTCCCAGATGCTTTCAATCTGCGTCAGCTCCAAAATAGTACAACACAGTGTGAACCGTGTGTGTGTCTGTGTGTCTCTCGAGATTGCTGCTTGTCAGTATGGATGGACTAGATTTTATCTGTAAAGAAGTGTACATTCCGTTGTCCAATTTCAGACTTGTGCCCTACGGCTATTGCTGGGACTTAATTAAATTGGGGTCTATTTTTTTCAGTTTTCTTGCCTACAAATGTGTGTATGTGTGTTTGTGGGTTGGGGGTTCGGATAGGGCCAAGAGGTATGCGAGTATGTGCATGAGGACTCGCATATATGATGCATTCCTTCTCCAAGCATAACCCACATCGCCTGAGGGCTTTATATCAACTTCTCAATGCCTCTCTCTGTGCAAGAGACAGATCTCTTTTGTCCGATTTCGTAGTTAATGACATGGAATACACATAAATATACAGCATTTTTCTTTTCTTCCCTCACAGAGGTTTGTTCCAATCAAAAAATGTAAGCGAAGTATGTAGTTCTGAAGTAATCTGATGTTGGCAAGTGCAGTTTTTTGTGTGAGCCTTAAAAGGCTGCCTGTGCTCATTTTCAGTGAGTCCCTGCTGTGCATAAACAAAGCATAGCCTGGCCAAAGGCATCATTATAGGGTTTCAAAAGCTCCCATAACTTCAGAACAAATGCAAAAGAGTCGACAGTTCTCTGTGTGTTAGCGTTGCCTGTTGTGCTGGTTGGCTGCAGCCCCATCATGCCTTGCAACGTCACCCCCCCATGAATGTCTGCAAGCTGTTGCAAGAGCAGACTGGATGAAAGGCAACCTGTTATTTACCAGAAAATGTTCTACTTTGGCAATTACACCAAAGGCTTCCCTTGGTAGGCAGCTATGTTCTCACTCGTAGCCACATGTGAACTAGTTAATCACTTTCTTTTTTTTTATAATCATTCTCCCTAAATCTAACTTTGAAGACGCCCATCTGTTCATTCTTTTTCTGCAGGCGATCAGACAAAAGTATAAATTGTAATAAGCCAAACATTTTACAGGCCATATACAGTGTAAGCATGTTGTTTAATCTCTTATTTCAAACATACAGTTCTTAAGCTTCATCCCAGACTTATCCCTTAGCATTTACAGGATAGCAAGTGTAAGTAAGTGTAATCTGATGCACAGACAGAGATGTAACTAAAGCTGTCCAATCAAAACCAAGCTCAAATACTCAAGCTTTTTTTTTTTTTTTTATCTTAATGCATTTTATTCGCAGCAAATGTGGCCACGACCAGCAACACCACTGCTGTTGTGTTGTGGTGTGTGGCAGTACTAAGAGAGGATCCACCTGATAGAGTGTAGTAATTTGAAGCACAGAGAAAAAACTATAACAATTATAACCTAGTAATTAAGTATCTCCATCTGTCAGTCTGAACGCAGCTTTAGTTGTAAGTCTTTTTTATTTTTAAGTAAAGTAACCTTTACACAGTCCTTCATTTGTTATATAATTTACTGTGACAGGTCACTTTGAACTAAAAGCTTACCTAAACTTGACCTGAAATAATCCAAAACCAAAGTTGAGAATCAGTTGTATTTCACAATGGAGATATGATGCCGGTTTGTGATGAATTATCTAAATTATTTATTCTTTTATCACTTGTTAATGTGTGATCTACAATCTCTGAGTGGCGTAACATGGGTAAGTGAGAACATCAATAACCTCTGGCTTTGATTTCGGTGCATGTATTCTTGGGGGTTCTGTGCTACGAGCACATTTTTCATAATTGCTCTGTCTGTCTCCGTTAAGGGCAGGATTTTGACAGTAAGGGAGGCTGAGAAAGATGAAAAATCAGCACAGAATGTTCTTTACCTTCTGCTCTAAAGTGGCAAGGTGATAGACGTCAGATAAATTGGTAGAGGAGCTGAGAAGGAAACCATAATGGGGATAGAGACAGTGAGAGGGGCAGGCCACGGGGTTGTGCCCGCAGCATGGCCCCACTGAGACCTTGAGACACTATAAAAAACCATTTCTAGAGACACTCAGTAACACTGCTGGGAGCAAATCCATCTCGACAGGCTGAGAACCAAGACTGAAAAATGATAGGTTATCATTTTTCTGCACAGAAAAGACTTTTTTTTCCCACCCACACATTTCACAGCAAAACCTCAAAACCATCTAGAGACGGACAGAAAGAGAGATGGAGTTGGTAATCGAGGCCCAGAGCTTAAGGAGATGGAGATTTGTTACAGATACAGAACAACATTATAATGACAGGATGAGAGATTGACATGAGGACGAATCAAAACAGGAGATAGATACAGACAGAGTGAACGAATTAAAGGGGCTGAACAAAAGAAGTGTCGAAGTGGGAATGCATAACAAAAAAAGGGAAAGTGACTAAGTGACACGGACAGGAAACCAAAGCATGAGCTGGAAGAAGACAGACGACCCTGGCAGCGGCGACGGATGGCTGAGAGTGTGTGACAGGACTTTTTCGGGAAGTGGAGACCACACCCCGACCGCCGGCGGTGGCAGGGGACCAAAATGTACCCTGATTGGCCCAGAGGCTCCGACTTATTCTGTACAACCAAGGTGTTTCCTTCCCATCAGCCCTGTCTGACCATGCTGTCATCTAAAGCATTTACTGGCACTAAAGCAGGACTCAAACAAAAGAGGGAATAAAGGAGCTTCCAAACATGCCACTACATTAAAACGGCATTTAATCCGAACATACAGAGCATCATTGTGGCATAAAAATTATGTGATTGAGGCTAAAAAGTCACTCATGGGTCAACCTATTGTTCTTTCGCTGCTTATAAACAGCTGCTTTGATATTTACAGGACACCGGGTTCCCATTCTAGGGCAGCATGGAAGCTTATAAATGCTACAAATAGCTACAATAACATTAGGTAACCTCCCAGAGGCCCTGTAAGGCAGATACTCCTGGCTCTTCTGAGCAGTAACATACGCTAGAAGGCAGACAGGGACTGGTCGTCATGTGTCCCACTGATAGCAAGGCCTGACTCAGTCCGGAGATGCAGAGATAGACCAGCTGGCCATGCCAAACCTACTCTGAAATGTGATTTTTTTTCTTGCTGTGTCTCATGGCCCCCTCACAGTTTTTAGTGTCACACACTGTTGGCTCATCTCTCGCTCTGTTAAACCCTGATGACTGATAAATTGATAAATGGCTTGTTTTTCTGCTTGTCGGGAAATGTTTGATTTAATATAGCCCCAGTTTGTGCCTCTCGTGTATTGCCATTACTTTTGAGTCACAGAGCTAAGGAAGTACTGCTTATAATTCATCCTGCTGGAACATTAATGTGAACCAAATTACATGCCAATCTATCCAATTGTTGAGAAATTTCACCCAAAGCCAAAAATTTCAACCCTGTGGTGGTGGGAGAGGAATATTCAGGGGATCACCAGAATCAATAGGATTCATCTTCTGGGGAAGAGGAATGTCTTGCCAAAATGTGGTGCCAGTCTATCTAGTAGATGTTGAGATATTTCATGGGATATGTTAACATTTTTACCTGCTGGAGGCGCTATGAAAGACCAAAGTGGTGGGCTGACTGACAGACATTGCCATCCCCATAGCTTGCATGGCTTAAAACCCCACAGGTTCATTTAACGTTTACCACAGTCCTTTTTCTAAAACCCCTAAAGACTGAATAAATCTGAATAATAATCTGATTCATGGTAAATTATATGTATTTGTTTCTCATATTTGACACAATTAAAGGACTATTGTGTAGGATTTGGCATCTAGTGGTTTTAAGTTTTATATTGCAACTAACACCACTCACGTCTGTGAAGTGTGTAGGAGAAACTACGGTGGCCACGAAACTTGCCAAAAATGCAAAAAGCCCTATCTACAGCCAGTGTTTGGTTTGTCCATTCTAGGGTACTGTAGAAACGAAAGAAATTCTAAGGTAACAAAAACATAAGAATTCCTATATTCAGGTGATTATATGCCAATAAAAGCATACCTATGAACATTATATTCCATCTCTGTCTCCTAAAAGTTACACACTGGACCTGTAAATCCAAACAAACGTAGCTGGAGATGACATACTGTATGCCACTGCTCAAATTGTACGATGTGAAATAGTTTAGGCTATAATTATTTATATTAATGTTATACTGTATTATTTCATATTTTTATAAAAAAATAATGTATTTATTTTTCTTGTGTTGCATAAAGGACGGAGAAAGCAACAAGATATGTCATTTCTGGCTACAATGTGGTGGACCAACTTAGGTAAAGATCTTTTTTGCAATGACGTAAGATTTCTTTCATACAGATGATTAAAAGAGTCTTTGAGGATTCTGGCCTTCAGAACCACTGTAGATGATGTAAAACACTGTCTAGCATTTCAAAAGATTAGCCAGCTATTTGTTTTTTTGCAAAACTGCATGTGTAGCTCTCAGTATTCAGAGATTTTACAGTCATGCTGTCCTTGATACTTCTTGAGAGCATCTGCAGCCTGAACATTGCCCTCTGGATGTTCTTATTCTCTGTGCTCCATGTTTGTTCCGGTTATCTCCTGGTACCCTAAATGTTTACTACTGCGTTAAAGGTTTCACACTTGCTGTTCACATTTACTCAAGCTGGTACGCCGAACGAGTGAGTAAATAAAAAGAATTGTCTCGCCTTGACGAGCTCCTACTCAGTGGAGCCTCTTTTAGGGGTCAGTCGGTTAAAGGGGCCTGTCCGCCAGCCCTAATTTACGGCCATCCCTTTGAAAACATTGGGGAGTTGTGAGGCAGTGGCACCAGTTTTTGGTGCTACAGCTGTTTTTACTGTCACGGCCGTAAAGCTCCCCTGGGAAGGGAGAGACAAGAAAAGGAGAGATCAGAACAATGGCTTGTCATGCAACTTGCAGAAGAGCAAAGTATCATGGTTGGAGAAAAGAGTGTGTGTTTATGTTGGGAGGGGTGGGTGTCGTAGCTCAGGGTGGAGGTTTGCCAGAAGTTTGAGATAAAGACAGTACCTGTGTATTCAGTCTTCATGCCAAAAGGCGACCTTAATGGTAATAATAAACACAGCTCTCTCCTCCCTTTTCCTTTATCTCTCCATTGTAGCTTGTCCCCATCTCTGGCAATATTGGCCTTGATTCTATTCAACTCCTGTCACATTAGTGTGTGTGAGTCTTTATCTGTGCTATTGGCTCCTTCTGTGGAGATCTCTGCGGTGTAATCAAAAGAAGAAATGGGCTGGGTTTCCTGGCAGCCTTTTAACACCAAAATCATCTTACTTTTCCATTTAGGATGATGTTGGGAACGTTCTTTCTTCTTTTTTAGGGTAGATAATTGAACCTTTACTCCAAACCATGAGTACACAAGAGTAAAATAACTGTATACCAACATACCTACAATGACAATGTTACTTAATGAGATTTAGAAATGGTCCACATCTTATTTTAGTGTGTGATACGATAACATTTGGTAATTAGTAAAAACACAAAGTACAGCTGGGCTGATTCATTAGTGTATGTATTTGGTCATGTCATAAACCATATCATTAGACTTGATGATAGCACCGGATGAAAAGTTAAGGGATCAACCAGGGTTATTATAATTCATCCTGAGGGGGGACATGAATGTCAAATTTAATAGCAATCCATCCAATGATTGTTGAGACATTTCACTCAAAACCACACAGTGGCACTAGAGGAAAATGACCACTAAAGTCATTAGGATTAATCCTCTGGCAACCATAAACGTCTGTACAAGATTTTGTGCCAATCCATTCATTAGTTGTTGAGATATTTCAGTCTGGACCAACCAAGCGACAAAACAGACAAACCAACACTGCCATTTCTACAGTCACACCAGCCATAACATGCTCGAGTCTAAAACAATCACAAGAAAGCTGTTCTGGTTTTCCAAAAATATCTTTTATTTCACATGAAATTTTCACATTTAGCATATTTATCAAACAGGTCTTTTATATAATCTTCTATGTATATATATATATATATATATATACACATATTATACACTTCTCTTACTTACACATGTACAAAATTAGGTAACAAGAATTCAGATAAAAAAGACTGACTTCAATGGTAGTCATACACCGTTGTGCTTTGTCGATCAAGCCGGCCTGTCAGGTGAAGATGTGCTTGGCAACTCGGTTTGATGCCGTGTCTTGTCTGTTCTGTTCTGATTGTGAACTGGTGACTGTAACATTTTCAAATGATCCAAAACTTTGATAATTATTCTGAAAGTCTAAATAGCTGATTACTTCACATGAAGGAAAGCACCATGATGCACAGGGTTGGGTCCTGTAGTAATAAAGATCTGATACCAGCTCTTCATGTCAGACAGTTTAACCAATACAGGGGCAAGATCCAACAAACAGAAAAGTCCAGCCTCTCTGTGATACACACAACATCTCAGTGTTTGCTTTTGGCAGAAAAACATTTTGTCTCATCACTATTTCAATCAATCGCTCCCTTGGTTGCTCACATTTTCTTACTCTCACTTCAACTCACACATTTTCGCTTTCACACAAGTATTAACTCTACCAGGACAGAGAGAAAAAAGCTCTCCCCATTACCAACAGTAAACATTTGTTTTCGTGAGCACATGGTATATACAGTAAAACTTCTCAGCTGCAAATGTTATAAATTATCTTCACAGAATGTACACCTAACACAGTTCAATGTAGTGTGTTTTCATGTGTTACTGTATGTCAGTGTGTGTGTGAGACAGTGTGTAACACCGTTGTGTAGTGTGTGTTTGTACTGTGCAGTATTTAGTGCTACAGTGTATAAGCACATGGTCGCGTTTGCAAAGGAATGGTAGTCATGAGAACAGCCCCTGTGTCTGTCAATGCTACATTTAGAGAAAGTAATCACTTGGGACATCAATGCCACTCAATACCATTACAATAACAATACAACAGATAGTACACAATACTCAAGGGTGGAATAGTGTACAAGTTGGAGAGATGACTGATCTTTGGCTCAAAAGGTAAGAGATTACTTTATCATTGGATGTGAATTTATTCCAGCTAAATGTATATCTTTATAATTCAAACAGAGTTGGCGTCTTTGCTCTTGATTGTTCTTCGGCCACTTTAGGTTCCTCTTCAACTTCTTCATATTTTCTTCTTGGGTTATCTTCCAAAGAAGTTCATGTCTTTTTTGAAGAGAGCCCTAAAAAATACAAATCAAGGAGAGCTTGGTCTTTCCAAGAAAAAAAATACTGTCACCTTTTGAAAAATAAGACAAAGCTCATATTCTTTGTCTCAAATGCTCAGAGTTACTCAGCACATGTAGTGCAAGCGAGTCCATCTGTACTTTACAAGCTTCAAAAGTCTCTCCCTGTGGCCTGCACTGGGCATGGAAAACTGTCTTTTTGAGTCAGTGGTTTCATCCCCACGGACTGTCTTCATTGTAGTCCCTGAAAAAAAAAAAATTCTGCCAACAGCAGTCCTTTCATGTACTCTCAGTGCAACAATAGCAGTAATGAAAATGGGACTAGCAATGAAAGGATTGAAAGGGATGTAGCTGCCACTGCAGAGTTTGTCCGTACACTCTTCTGGACGTCTGGCAGGATTACCACTGGGTCATCTGCTTGAAGATGAGAGATAAAGAAGACACATTAGTACTGCATATTTGCACCCCAATGTAATCCTGAATGTACCTGAGTTGTTTTAAGGTCAGGGATAATTATAAAGGACACAGGGTTGGTCAACATACCTGCAGGCAGTCTGTTGGATGGGTTGTGAACCCCACCCCCAGCTCCAACTGCAGCCCCACCTGTGCCTCCTTTAGCCACTCTGGCCTCTTGAGAGCCTGAAAGAAAAGCAAAATGCCATCAATTACTCTGCTTTGTTCTTGCAATAGTCTAACACAACTATCAGAGGTCATTGTGCTGCTCTCCTTACAGCCAGGAGGGGTTTAACTCACCATCAGCAGCTACAACATCCACCCTGAGCTTGAGGCACTCCTGTCCATGGTGGTGCAAAGGTTTGGCTGTTGAGAAGAGGGAAGAAACAACACAGGCGTTAACATCCCAACTAATGCTATTATCCTCCACTGGCCCCTTATTTCACCTTCATGCACGCGCACACACACCCACACACACACACACACACACACTTGGCAACAGACAGACAAACAGAATGACACAGGGACAAAGCTTTAGGACACCATCTGTGACCAGGCGAAGTGTGTCTTGTCCTGCCGTTTATCTAATTACAGCCATGGCCAGGGTGACAACACTGCTGCTCTTTGTGGTTACATTCTAGCAGGATAAGTATTGCACAGACTTGGCAAACTGAGCGGACACCCCAGTAAATGTCCATGTCAGGCTTCAAAGTGCTGGCCACCAAGCTCTAGGATATCACGATTAGTAGAAAAAACTTAGCAAAACTGCAGAACTTTACTCTAGCCTCACTTCCGTATGATGGTAGAGATTTTTAGCCATGCTAGCAGTTGGGGGCTCTGGGGAGGGCAATAATCAGTTGGTCGAGACTGAAATATCTCAAAAGGTCTTTGATGGATTACCATGACATTTTAAACAGACATTCATGGTTCCAGATGATGAATCCTAATGTCTTTGATGATGCCCTAACTCTTCCTCGAGCACAAAGATGAAGTTGACATTTGTGGTTTTGAGTGAATTATCAATTATTGGATGGGTTGTCAGATGAAATCTGCTACAGACATTATTGTCCTCCTCCAACATAAAATGTAATAATTATGGTGATGGCTTAACTTTTTTTTTTATTTGAGCATACTGGTTGATTACAAAATACCTGCAAAACTACTGCTAGTTATAAAATGTTAGCATTTAGCTCAAAGCACTGCTGTGTACAACCTGTGGCTGTAGACTCTTAAGTGAAAACATCTGAATATAAGCTAATTGGCAAAAAGAGCAACAAATCAGACAAAATTGTAGTGATACTTACAGATATAATAGTAGCTTTCTCCTTGGCGGAACTCCTTTCCCAGAGTAAATGGAGTAAAACGCTGGAACTTTTCTGAGAACTTCTCAGGGGCATGAGGAGCAAAGGGATGGCCACACTCCCAGCGCATCTGATCGTAAGATTGGGGCTTGCAGGATTCATAGTCCTCTTGCTCCACCATGTAGAGCACGTATCGTTCAGCATCCAGCAATGGCACCTCACCCTGAGGGTAATGGGGGCAGACGATGTCCAGATAGTCATTGAGCTTCACCTCCACAGCGTAGTCATCCCATAGAAACCTGCGGGGAAGAGGCAGGTGGACAGTTATGCAAGTGGCAGGAGACTGATAACCATGGTTATAGCATCGGAGCGGTAATAAATATAAGCCTCAAAACCTGTGATTATATATTGATCGGCTACATGCCAGTGTACAACAGGGAAATCAGAGGAAAGACTGAGAGGCCTGGGAATGAGAGATCAAGAGCAGGAGAAGGAGAGAGGGTTTGTGAGTGAGGATATGTGTGTGTGTTGGAGTGGAATGTGGAGGGGAAACGCAATAAGGGGAAGAGTGATCTGCAGAGGACATGCGCATAAATATGGATGAACGTGAGACGAGTGTAGCTGCTGCTGCTTGCTGCTGTGTTGCGAGTTAGCACTGAGTCACATTGATCCCATGTCCCCCAGGAGTTGAATGATGTTTACAGAGAAACATTAGCAGTCAGTTAGCCCGTCAAAACAGAAGATGAGTATCGACATCTGCAGGGCTAGAGACACACACACACACACACACACACAGATAGAATTTGTGATGACAAATTCACCTTAACAGAAGCAGAAACACACCTTGAGTTCCCTCAAGAAAAGGGACATGGATAAAAATAAAGGTCACATATGTTTTAACCCATTCATTAGGGTCAGTGAGACATGCAGACGTATACAACATGAGTCTGGTGACGGTCGGTGATGGTCTGTAACTGTCTCCCACCACACTCCCTCTCATTACAAATACGGAGAGACAGTCAGACTGTCTGCCTCCCCCTCCATTCCTCCCTGCATCCCTCCCTTCACTCCTCCACCCTCTCCGCCCTCTTTACGATGGTCTTTAAGTAAACTAAATGTCATCCCACTCCTCTTGGACCTGGGTCAAAGAGCACTGGCAGAAAACTTTTTAGCATTTTAGCCTGCTTCAAATGTAAACACAATTTTAGAGACTTTGGACTAGATAAATAACAATTTAGCACACTTGGAGGCAGTTTAAATTGGACTTATCTCAACTCTCCACCCCCTCCCGGATTTTCTTTCAGAGATATTATGAGTTTATCTCCGGGGAATTGTCACTAAAGGTATTTCAGCTTTGTCCCCTTCCCCCTGACTGAGTGACTGCTCCAGGGGTGGCTCACAGCTAATGCTCTCTTCTCAGCCAAAGCCATCTATCACCGGCCTGGAGCGGTAGCCGGCCGCTAGCAACACACACTAACTCACACACTTCCCAGTAATTCTCATCTATCAACAACCTAAGGCAGTAGCTACCTACTGTTTGCACCCACCAAACCACCCCCACCCACACACACACCTCCTCCCGCGGTACTGAGCTCCCAAGCGATGCCTATCAGTTTACCGTCTCCTACTGTTCTGGATCACCATGGGTTCGCTGGAAGACTGAAATTTGACAGAATTAAATGTTTTCACAACACACAAGGAGAATGTGTGTCTAATATAGGGTTTTGTTGCTTTTGCAATGAATACATGGATGGTTCATCAGGCTTTCAACCCCCCCCCCCCCAAAAAAAAGAGTGTGAGTTAAGTTACTAACTGCTATTTAATCTACAAATCTCAAAGAGTTACGGGTTCTTTAGAAGCCTACAGGGTGCTAACTGGATCTTAAGCAAAGAAAAAACTCCCCACAGAAGGTATTTCTCCCCTCAAGTTGATTTTTCTTTGAAAATTCTTTCTTTTTCTCATAAAACCCCCTAAATGTAACAAGTAGCATTTGGGGGGTTTGTGTTTGTGTGACAAGGTCCATATGTGTGACTAACGATCAAAGTGCACAGGCACAGGCTCCCGTCGCTCATTAGCTGGTGTTGTTGTTTGTGGCCAGGGGTCTCCCTGGTACCCCATGGTAAAAGGACAGACGCTGTGGCTCCAAACACTGGGCCCTGACTTCTGCTCCCCCCTCTGGCTCCCTCCCCCCTTCTCTTTCCCCCTCTCCGCCTGACTGCATTCCCTCAATACTGATGACCAGATTAGCTGGCAACACCATTACAACAGCAACACTGGCCTGTTAGAAAACAAGTACCTTTTTTGTATACTGATGAAACTTCCATCTAACTGTGCTGATAATAGTGTGCTCAAGCCAACTTTTGGGTGGCGGGGGGAGCAATAATTATCATTTTGCCATGGTCCAGACAGCTTTGTGCTTATCTGCAGTTTGCCTGCCACGCTCTGTTTACCAGATTGGCGCTAAAGTGTTTTTTCCCCCTGCCACTTTCAATTCCAGTCGAATCGATAACACTATTGAACAAACACTGTTGTCTGCTTTTGCCTGACAGAGTTATCATCCCCCTGCAAACACTGGAAACACACACAAACAAACTCCCTATGACCCAGTCCCTTCTTCACTCCCAGCCCCGATTACAAACTGGATGTGGTATGTTCCCAATGTGTTCATCAAAAGTGGGTCGAAGGGGGTGCAATTAAAGCACAAAAAAGGGTATTAAAGTTGCCCCGGAGGGGGGTAATTATGCCCTCTTGCTCCCCACTTCCCAGCCTCCTTAGGCTAAGAGTTTGGGGGGAGACAGAGGGCATGAATAGGCGTAGGCGGGGGGGGGGGGNNGGGGGGGGGGGGGGGGTCAAAGGGCTTGAGTTGGAAATGGCTTTTGAAGTTTCTCTCAGTATGAATATCTATGCGAGTGCTACAGTTGCTTTATCAACGCCACTGTTTCATACAGTGTCTCTATTCACAATGTGCCCACGCTGATGGAATACCTCACTTAGCAGAGAGAACAGTGGCTGAATACGCACCCGGGAGGCTGGCTAGCCCCTTTTATTAATGGCAAATACTTTTAATTATCCTGCTGCCTTTTGTTCCCCTCTAACGCCTCGGCATTGAAACGTTCCACATCATCAGCTTAATTAACTGATTGCAGTAACACACATCAAAGAGAGCTTAGGCCTCTGTGTGAAAAGGTTTAGCTAACAAAGTCAAATCATGCCACCTTCACTTTAGCAGACAAAATCCTCTTTCTTTTTGTCTCCCCAGTGTGTGTCCCTTGTTATTTTGCTCTTGCAGACTGTTCCTTCTCCCTGTCAATAGGCTGTCTTGATTTATTCCCATTGTTTATCCCAGGATTCTCTGTTTTAATGACAGTGATGCTTGGAGCTTCACCAGAAACAACATCATTGAGGAGTTGTTGTATTCTCTACTTAAGGATGATTTATGGAGCTATGGCAGATATGCAGCGAGGATTGTGTGCATGTGTGTCAGACATTTAAATGTGTGATTGTTGTGTTACGTTTGTAGATCTCTGAGCAATCTGGGAGTGCGTTACAATTGTGATATGGTGGACCAAAGAAATACCAATAATAGCAGTCAGAGAATGTCAAGTGGTCAAGTGTGTGTATGCGAGCGCACAATCTGGTGAACTACAGACTGTTCCCGGCCTCTCTTCCTCCTCTCCCAAGAAGGAATTCCAGATTTATTGGAGCCTCTTCAGGAGCAGGAGTCTAATCTCTCTTCTTTAATCTCTCTGGCCAGCGTTTTGCTTTCTTCTCCACCTCTACCCCTTCCTTTCATCCATCCATCACCCTCTCATCTCTGCACTCTATCGCCCTGTGGAATGCTGGACCTCTGAGGCGAAGGGGCCGCAATGTGGATCAAAGGTCGGAAAATCGCCAAGTCAGCACCGGAGAGTTTTATACCCGAACAGTCAGCAAGAGGGAGCCTTGTGTGCTTTAAATTCTATATACTGGTGCTTTGAGGAATCACTCTTTGAGGATCGATTCAGACCTATTTTAAAAGGTCCATAAAGGCCACCGTAGAGCAAACTACACATTTATGACCACTACATATAACAGGAGCTCTAGACCTACTTAACCTGTGCTGTCTCTAAGAGGCCCCTGCACAGCCACCGTAACCACATGAACATGATTATTTTCCTCTCTGGTTTTACACACGGCATTAATGTGACCCAAAAGGTGGCTGGCCTGCGTCACAGATGAGTGAACCGGAATGTGTGGACCACCTAATCAGCTCGTCCAAGCCTGGATTATTGGGTGGAGCAGAGGCTGAGCTCGGGTCCATTCATCAGCACCAGACCCTGCTTAATACAGGGGCTTAGAGTGGACAGCGAGGCCCAGAGCAGGGGCTGGGGGCAGAGTAAGGCAGGGTGGAGCTTTTTCCCCCCCCATCCCTATTGTTCTCACACAGAGAAGGGGTATTACTCCTTTACACTGGTGTTTTGGAGTTCAAAAAGAGACACACCGACTGCGCATGTATGTGTGTGCGTAAGTGTGTCCATGGTTGCAGAGGGGAAAGTGAGAGGTGTTAACAGAATAATGAAAGACAGTGGACACAAGGGAGCTATTTTCTTTCAAGATACATCTGTGAAAGCTACGTGACTCCATGAGGGAGGTGGCACAGCAGAGAGAGGTGAAGCCTTTCTGAGATGCATCATGAGCTTAGTTAAGCTGGACTGTTTATCGTTTTTTTCCCCTCTTTCTGTTTCATTCGTCTATCTATTCATCCATCAATGTCAGCCGTTCCCTCCCACTCTCTGTCCGTCTTTCATCACTCAATAAGCAAACCAGATCCTCATGTCAACTTTGTCCCTCCCCCCACACCAGACTTGCTGAACCAATCACAACCTGTCCTGGTGGTATTACAAGTATGCAACTTATTGACCCACCGAGCCATGCACAATACGGCGTGGGTATGCTTGGGTCACCATAGAAACAAATATGGTCCAGCTCTTTTGGCTCCCCCTTTTAACATAATATTCCAGTCTTCATTCTTTGCACTGGGTGACTTTTTGTCATCCATCTCAATCAGCTTTCTCCGCTCTGTCATTCAACCTTTGTCTGTCCAGATCATTGGTCATTCTGCCAGCGTTCCTGGCTGAACTAGTCAAGCTCCTTTTGCCACCAAGCAAAGCGACAGAGCTTTAAGTCCAGCAGAGAAATAATTGGCTTTTTCCACTGCACTAAGGAGGCTTAGATGAATACATATGCTCTTTCCAACTGTCTCACGCTGTCCCCTGAGCCATTTGTATCTTGTAAGGGCCAGCACAGAAAGGTCAACACT